ATTTCCCGCTAAATATAGCGGAGAATTGAATTGCTGTTGAGGTCACGTGACGTCAATTTTCCACCTAAATTTAGCGGGGAAACTGGAAGAAGGGCAAGGTATGGAGGACGAGGAGGGGAGGGTACGGAGGAGGAGGATGGGACGGTATGGAGAAGAAGGAGGAAAGGGTACGGAAGAGGAGGGGAAGGAGGAGAACTGGAGAGGAGGAGAAGGGGTAGGGGCAGATGAGGAGGATGGAAGGAGGAGGAGTGGGATGAAAGGAGGAGGAGAAAAGTACGGGAGGACAAGGAGCAGAGGAGGGGGAGGAGGACGGAAGGAGGAGAGGAGCATGAGGGGAGAAGGAGAGGGTGTGAAGGAGGAGGAGAGGCATGCCCTCTCCCCATACCCTCCCCTCCTCCTCAAAAGCTGCGCTCTAATTTCGTGTTAAAAAGATTTTTAAACGTCTTTCATTTTTCAAAACAGCTAAGGGTAACGTAAAGACGTTACTCGTTACATCTTCCCAGTGTTGTATGCGTTACCGAAAAAAAGTAACTAAATACGTTACTCGTTACTTTCAAATAAATGTAACGCGTTACCGACCTACGTTACCTCAAAATAAAAGGAACGCGTTACCGTTACCGTTACTGATAAAAAGTAACGCACGTTACTGTTGCGTTACTTTTTATTCACGAACTAAAACATTTGCTGTTTCGACGTTTGATATGTGCGTGAGCGTCATAGCTAAAATATGTCCATGCGGAAACTTAATTACCCTCTCTTTTTTTAGGGTTTCACCCGAATAGTGACAAGAAAAACGCACGTTTGCAAGTCCGGTCTCAGGGCGCCGCCATCTTCCTCAGTGGGGTGCGCTCTCGGGAGCGGCCATAATCCGATTACGACGCCTTAGCAAGGCTTCGTAATCGGATTATGACTGGTCCAAGCGCACCCCAGACAGGCAAGATGGCAGCGCCCTGAAGCCGGACTTGCAAACGTGTATATATGAAGCTGATTTATAACATAAAAAACGGGAAAGGAAATGACACGAAGGTGTCATTCTCTTTCCCGGCGGGAAGCGAAACGCAGGCTTCGACGCAGGAATCCCAAATCCACCCGAAGCCGGACCTCTTTGGCCTTCCAGCCGAGGCGACGGCGGTAGCGAGGTCAACGAGCCGCGGGAGAAAACCAGTGGCAGGTGGCGTGTGACGTCAAATCTGACGAGCACCGACGTCAAAGAAAAGTGGAGGACAGCGGCACTTTTTGGCTAAGGAATTTATGACTGGGCACTTAAAAACACACACACAAAAAACCTTTTTGAAGCTCTAGGAAGTAAAGTAACGTAACGTAATTTCGTTACACCTTACTCAACATAAGTAACGTAAGTACGTTACCCGTTACTTCTTTGGAAAAGTAACGAGTACGTTACTACGTTACCAAAAAAAGTAACGCGTTACCGGTAACGCCGTTACTTGTAACGCGTTATCGCCAACACTGCATCTTCCCAAGACCAGAAAAAAAGTACTCTTACATTTTTACATTTTTTCGTCTGTCTGTACTAACATAAAGAGGTACAGAAACGAAATGTTTGCACTTATTTCTTTGTTTAGATCTGATCTATGTTGTGCCGGCAGCCCAGAAATACTAGCCTAGACCCAATGTTTCCGGGCTGCCGGCAGGAAAGTCAAGAAAACTAATCATAAAACAAATTCATAGATTTCAAAATTGCGTCTGGAGGCAGTCTGTGAAGCTCCGTTGGAATGCTGTCACGTCATGAACTCCTTAAAAGCAACGCCTGTTCGCGCCAGTATGGCTCACTCGTGGAGTTACTTAGTCCTGAATGTGACTCGGCGGACATTTCGCACCATCAGGTTCGCCGCTCTTTGCAGAAGTTAAGTAGGGGTTTGATTTGAGCTTACGGGTACCTCTTCCAAACCAACCATACCACTCCCCGCACCCCCCCGCCCTTTTTTTTTTCCTGGATCCTCCGTGAATAGCGCGCTCAAATACGGCCCCCATAGCTTGCAGGTATTGCCATTGTTGGGTACTAACGGTTATTTCTACTTACTGGTTCTCTCGAGCTACTACTTCTGTGGTGTGAGGTTAACACGATGGACCGAACTATCATGGCACATAAAATACCGATAGGGCCGCGAACGACATTACCAACAAGCTAGGGCGTACAGTCTTCTACTCTGCGAAATTGCCGCACGTTGACGCCACCAAGCTGCATCGCTCGCAGCTAGAGTACCCTTGACAGTGCAGAAACTGTCGACGTCACGAGCGTGGTACGCATTGCGCTTCTCAATACCGACCCCTGCCCGTTCCGATCTGGATGAGCATCGTACTGGTGTGCGGTCGTAGATCACTACTGCGTGGTGCACGTTAAAAACCCCAGGCTACCGGTTGAATTGTACTGGCTAAGTTTCTCATCTACAACTGGGAGACAATTGTCGCACGTTGAGGCAGATTACGTTCTAGGCTTAAAACCACCGAACAGGATGTTCGGTGGTTTTATGGCGGTCGTAGTTCTGTATATAAGTCGGTTTGTTGAATAAAATAATTAGCTGAGTTAGCGGCGCTATCAATCCCTGTTACTTTCTCTTAAACTGCAAAAACAATTTCGTCCTTCTGCCCCAGTCTCGAGTTAAAATATTCATGATGTATTTTGTGTTCGGGGGAGTTGAACTCTGTGCGGTGTTCACGCTTATTCCTGGGGGTCTATAAAGAGAAAATGTGTGTATTTTCTTTAATAATAGACTTGTTTCAAAATTCGAAGCGCCTTCTCGTGGTGTAATGCCATGTTATGCATTGTGAGAAGTAATGGAAAGCAAAACCCATACGCGCTCCACTGCTGGTCAACAGGTTTCCACAATGCAACGCGCGCGTTGAAGCAATTAGGGAAGTAGGCTATTCTACGCCCATGAATCTGAAAAATATGTGCTATTAGCGCTAAAAAATTCAAATGATAAAGCTGAACAGCTTATAAGAAGTTACAAACTGCTTTGTAGTTATTTTAAGAAACACCTTTTAATTTTAGCGAAAGGCTCTGAACGCATAAATGCCCATCTATCACAATGACGCTTGACGAGTTTAAACGTGCTCACGAAATATAAAAAAAAAAACACGGCGTTTCACGGAACATCGACTAAAGTTTTGGTGTAAAAACTCCGCACCAAGCATACATATGATTGAAAGCACGTATTTGTCATTTTAGGTGTCTGCGGTCCCCATATATTATTTTTAATTTTCCCACATAGTACAAAGTATGGGACATAAACTTCCCATTCTATTCCTAGTCCGGTCTACACCATTCCTAGAAACTGGCAGGTACGCCAAAAAACCATGGAATGTTTTAGGAATAATTGAAAACGAGCGTGTTGGTGAATAGATACAAATACATAAAAAGATAAAACATGGAATACAGGGACGGAGACAGAACTTTCATGCATTTGTTTCCGTCCCCGTCTTCTATGTTTTTGTTTATGAACTTTTCAGCCACATTGTCTGCGATATTCCACAGCGCCTAGGTCAGGAGTCTGAAACACGCGACACGCGAGCCGCATGTAAACCACGACTCGATGAGACATGGCCCGCAGGCAACCGGCTACAAGTCCCGGTTCCCATTTCCCAAGCACTAGAACTAGCATGCACCATGGTGATCTCATCTCGTCGATTCATTTCCGCTCGAAAAGTAGCTCTGATCTTTTAACATATTGCCATATTGTATACTCATCTGTGTTCATTTGCCCTTTATTTCGGTTTATTTTGTGCTTCTCAGTCTTTTGTAATGTACAACGATTCCGCTACTAGGCTGCAAGCGGGAGCTATTCGTTAAAGCATACATCTTGGCTGCGCGAACTCCCGATCAGCACGAGCAACTGCCAATGATAAAGCCTACAAGCTCGCGATTCTCGCCTTCAAAAACAAGAAGCACCATTCAAATACAAGTGTTTGTTCAGAGTACTGTAATAAACATCGTCAGGGAAGCAGAAACTGTCAAATTAAGTGACTGTTTTTAGAGGCATGTTGAATTTGGTTAATTCCTACGTGGATTGAGCAACGGGAAAGACAGTGTACTTGCTATCTTCCATTCAAAATGCCAGCACGTTGGCGGTGCAGTGTTATTTTCAATTCTTATCACATCAGGTCGGGGTTCAGGAGTCATATAAACAAATCAAATTTAAAGATGTCACTGGCAAAATGGTGTTTTTACAAAAAGCATAGCGCACAAGTTTTTTTTCCTTTAAAGTCCTTTGACCCCCAATTGACCCTCAACCTTTCCGGTGTGGGCTCTTTGGCACCCACACTCAAATTAGTTTGAGACCACTGATCTAGGTGAACAAAGTTTGTAATTAAATTTGCACCAATAACTTTTAATTCATGATATTAAACAGATAGCACCAATTAGAAACCTGATTGGTATAATCAAACACCACTAAATAAAAGCGAAATAGAGAAAACACTTTGAGGGCTTGCCTTGTTTTTCTTGGTCGCCGAAATGCATCCAACTTCGACGCACCCGCGTGCATTTTGTTTTTCTTATCATACCAGCAAGCTAACTTTTGCGCACCTCCACGCTTCCCACGCACTCCAAGACACTACACTGATTATCGATTTCGCTGAAGTTTTTAATTTAACCCAAAGTTTATTTTTGCTAACCAAGTCTTATCATGTAAAAATCTGATAACGAATTATTCGAAGCACCATATACCTCACCAAATTGGATCTGGCCAGTGACAAATACGGCATCGATCGTTCTTGCTTGCGGCGCACAGTTTCACCGGAAAGTTTAACCATGTTCCGTGAAACACCCGGTGGATATTTCTCAGTAAGTTAGAATTTTTTTACGGATACCCGGAATCATTTTTATATTTTCTGAAATGCTGTATAAACTTCCACACGGGTACATAAAATTTGCATCAGTTGGGTAATTTCTGATTACATTAGGCTTCTGTACTTAACACGAATTTTGGTTTTCAAAATACTTGCATTGAAATGTAAGGCAAAGAAATAGGAGACAAAACTTCAGTTTCTTGATAAATTTATATTTATTTATATTTTGCATAAAAACTAGCTCTCGCTTATCGAACACGAAAATGACGCGTATTTACAAGGTGTAAAAAAATATGTGACGCTTCATGCTTCAGAGGTATGACCTTTTTCACTTCAAAAATAAGACGAAACTTTTTTTAATGGCACTTGATAGCGATAGTCCTCGCATTACCCACGTACCCAACGTACAACAACGCGCAGCGCCATGCAGCGCCATCTTCCGATATGATAATCACCTATCACGTTATAGGACAATGCTGCGTTGATGCGTACACCAAAGCAGTCTTCTTATCTTGGGTGACCAGCGGGCAAGATTAAATTAAATTAAACACTAGACCTATAGCACTTCACGAGAAATGACCGTTGCAGGTCTGGACGTGCGGTGAACATTAGTGAATTGACGCTGAAGCGAGATCAACTCTCCCTCTCTCTATACATATACATGCAGTGGTGGACAGCGCCAGCTCCAGATTTGCACATCTTTGGTGTGTCTAACCTCGACATAAATCGTCGTCACAAGTCCTATCATATACAAAGGCGCAGTAAATGCCATAAAAATAGTGGCGGGAAGATGGGCAGCCGCCGTCGCTGTGGCCTCGAACCTCCCCCGGGACTCTTCTGGTCCACGGACGTCCGCGGAGCGCTTCGGTGGCGGCCGGAGTTGAAGACATGGCGCCCTGGGCGCTGACTTCTCCTTTGGCAGAGTCACGCTTCTTGGGTCTGTCGCCGCTGGTGGTGGCGGGAAGCGCAATAAAGATGGCGGCGCAGTCTCCGGTCTGGCTAGTGCCTGTGATGGCCGTCAGAGCGCGGCATGGGTCGTGGGTGGAAGGTGGAGCACCGCGTCGTGTATGGTCGGAAACACGATCGGCGTCGGAAACATCTCCAGAATGTCCGATCGTAGAAGCACCTTGTACGTGGGCACTGCAGGAGAAGAACAAAGTCCAGGGTTATTAGTTTTCATGTAACAATGCATTTACACCTCTTATCTTTCTCGAGCAATCAATAAAACTACAATTAAAAAAAATGGTTCTGAAGAGAGTAAGTGTGCGCAGATGAGATGATAAAAACACCGCACAAGCAAACAAGGTCAGAAAGAGAGAAACGGCAGATGGGTGCATTTGACTCCGTGGTTCTTTCTGTTAATTTATTTTATATTGTGTTGTATCTTTAGAACACTTCTTGGCGTGGTGGATTTCCTTGCACTGATTTGTAAGTGCGACAGCACATAATATGTTAATAATCAAAATGTCACGGCATCCGTACTGCGGCAAAAGATGCATATTTGTTTTTAGTTTTTATCCAAGAGTGCGCCTAAAATAAAGTGTTATCACAGCTGCTCCAACGCCTAGTGACATGAGGTAAACATTGCGTAAAAACTAGAGCACGGAATTCCTTGGTGGGAATACAAATCATCTGAAATCAGTATCTGAATCGGAAAGGCCCACAACTCCAACATGACTAATAAAAAATATTCTTGGGAAACAAATGAACTAGCAAGCAGATAATAGCTGTGTTTAACATGTGTGTTGGATGAGCAGTACAACCGCTAGCCTGAGATCTTTAACGTGCACCACGCAGTAGTGATACACGACCGCACGCCGGTACGATGCTCATCCAGATCGAAACGGGCAAGGGTGGGGCTCGAACCCAGGATCCCTGGGTTCTGCAGCGCGAGCTATCGCTACACGCACGTCGAGCTGGGTGTGCGCATTAGCCCACTCGGCCACCGATCCTCTACAGCGTGTGACTCGTCGCAACTTTAATGGCTGACCAACTACACGCTGTATTAATATCCCCACAACCCAATTTTGTGTTGGATTGAGGAAAGGCAGCAACACGCACACACACCAAACAAAAAAAAAAAAAGATAATTGAGACCTCGTAATCGTTGAAGTGCGACTTTTCGTAGCTAGGGTATGTTCTAATGCACGGTTTATCAGCGTCGTGCACGAGTAGCACCGACAAGCAACTTATCATGGCGAGCCTTAGCGACTGACTACTTCCTACAAAACGTACTCTTCAATTGCCGTACTTGAGCGTGTCATTTAGCCTATACTCCCAGCAATCCTTCATTTATCATCTACCACTGGCGTCAATGCTGCAGCAGAAGCAAACACAGCTGGCGGTAAATACGAAATATATTAGGTTATGTTGTAGGCTTACCCGAACAACATGCGAAGTATACCACCACCTTTGTGTCCCGCAACTCTTTTAGTATCTGAAACGGTACAAAGTACATTTTGAGAAAATCTTTAAATACACTCTCTGTGCCACACAAGAAGGCAACCTGCAACATTTCGCTTGGCTTATGAAAGTTGCAACGTATGGCCCAAAGCGGAAAACATTATCCGGATATCCCTACAGAGAAGCAAGTATCAGCACCCGTTCTCAGAGAATTGGTACTGCATCCGTGTGAGTTAGAACAAAATATTTTACGTACACGATTCAACTACTTTTCTACATTCACAAATCACGGAAGAGTTGCACAAGAGGAAACTAGAAAAAGGACGGAACGACACTACCCGAATCATTACAAAGAACTTTAAGACGGAGAAAATATACTTATTTTTTGTTACAAACGAGAAAGAAAACGGATGTCGCAAAGCACTTCCCGCAGCTTTTACTATTTCATAACAGCGCCGCAATTGACTGTATGCCGCACGTACGACGTCAAAACTGGGATATCGCAAGTAAGACGGCACGTGACGCAGGTAATACCCCTCACATAAACAGCTGAATGAACAGTGTAATTTAAATTGAAACATTTTTAATTATTGAATAATTTCCGTAACCTACCGCTTAACTAAATAAATTAAAACTAAGAGCACATGTTCGAACATGCTTCACATATTTTGATTTATGAAGGGTACTATTCTGTTAAATCATTCTTTAGCGCTAGCGAAGGCAATATTTTCTGGTGTTGTAGAACGGCTATGTAGTTAACCGAACAGCCGAACACTTTTATTCCAACGTTACATCAGTCCATGAAAACGAAGAGGGCTTTGAGGATGCACTGAATAGAAGGTGCGCTGACCTCTTTGAGTGTTTCAATGCCGGAGGAGTCGATGTAGACGCACGCTGAGCAGTCTAAGATGACCGCCGCGATAGAGTCTTCGTCAGCTGCGTTGTACTTTCCCTGGTGCTCCAGCAGACTACTCGTTTCCCTGAAACGACACAGCAAGAAACAATTAGTCAAGAAACACAACTAGACATTTTCATTCAACACTTTTATAAAACGTAAAAAAGAAAAAGCACTCGTATTTTAATGCAAAGCATTTACAATTTACAGCGATAGCGTGCTAGTATCGTACAAAAGTCGCAGCAGGCTTAGCGCAATCATTAACAAAATTTGTGCGTAACTTTCTTTTATTAATGCGAATATTGTATTTATTGTGAAGTTGTCTCTTATTGATAGCAACTCCTCCGTTGTTTTTGAAAAACTCGTCCATAACGTGAGCCATGCGTAAGAACGAGAGACAGAGCATTGTGTTTAACTCAATTCTATCCATGACAATGTGTTAGTTAGCAGGATATTTGTATAAATGGGGTCCATGTGAAGGAACCGCGACTGAATAAGATGTCTTAAATCGGTAGCTGGAAAAAAATAATATTTGTCCTGCATTTGACTGACATGTTTGGGCACCGCGATCTCGAGTTCGGAACGTCTTATAATTTAGGACCGACCGCAACCGACGCCAAGATCAGATGGAGCCAAACATATAGCGTCAAAAGTGCCACGTCACGGCGGTCGTTGCCTTTGTGGGTTTGCTGTCTCCGGGTAATCCTATATCACGCAGAAAAGCGCAGGATGACGGCTTAGGCGCGATTGGTTTTAATGGTGATACCAAACGCACAAAGAAGATGAGCGCCGTGACGATGCACTTTTCTCGCTGCTTGATTGGTTCCGTAGGATTGTGAAGTCAGATGCAGTCGGAACTTAAAAAGTGAAGTAGAAGCCGCACTGCGCGCGCGTTCGTTTGGCCATAGAACTGTTTTCGGGGATCCATATACAACTTCAATGTTACATGGGTCACGTCTGTGACCGAGACAATCCTTCTCGATCTAAAAACCTTCCTCGTGTGACTCAATCTTACGGAGACGTTTAATGACGTACGGAGTTAGGATGGTCGTTTGAACTCACGGTTTCCTTTTGCTGTCGGGACAAACACAACGTGATATTACTCGTGTGCCAGCCGTCATCGTCGCATTATCTCGGAAACACGGCATTATTCCTACTAATCTTTTTGGGTGAGAACTTACTCTTTCGCAATGGTAAACATCACTAAACGCACGCAAATCAAGAGCCCCGGGAGGCGTTTCGAAGGAACTCGCGGTTTGTGTGAGCGTCATAGTTGGCGTTGCTTCTGAATGCAAATACATACCAGACAAATCAGTGCTTCTTTTATCTTTAGTTTATTTATATATTTAAAAAAAACTTTTTTAGAGAGGATTACAAAACAATCTGTGCGTAGGCATTAAAAGTGCAGATGGCGTCGGGAACAAGAAAACAAAGAACTCTACAACCAGAGACGTTTCCGAGTCTACCTTTCACGCACGGCCAAACGACTGGCAACTGAAGCCTTTTGTACAAAATTTCAATTAACTGTTTAGCGCCGCACATACAGTAAGCGAACTTGATTCTGGACAAAAGGTGACCACACTGGTGACCGAAATAATCATAATCTTAATTGGGTTGTGTGTGTGTTTATACGGCCTAGAACTTGGTCTGCCTCACAGGGGCAACGAGTCTCCCAGCTGTAGATAAAAAATTTAGCCAGTGCGGTTCAACCGCTAGCCTGGGGTCTTTAACGTGCATCACGCAGTAGTGATACACGACCGCACGCCGGTACGATGCTCATCCAGATCGAAACGGGCAGAGGTGGGGCTCGAACCCAGGATCCCTGGGTTCTGCAGCGTGAGTATCAATTTCTTTGATACTATACAGTGCGCAAGGCGGATTTGACTGCCTTGGCATGGTAGGCATTAGGCATAGTCGTTTCTTTTTAGCTCTGTTACAATAAAAGTGGACGGGAGCCGATATGCGTAAAGCTGAACTAACTTTACGCTATAATAAAGTTCAGCAGTTTACAGCATCTTCTGGTCCTATACAGTGACTAAGGTACCCTATTTTTTGTACCTTTTTAGAGTTTCACCAGTTGGGTGAGCGGAATTAGCCGCTCCATGAAATCACGCGAGGTTCAGAGAGTGACAGCCGATTCGGCGGTGAAACGTTAGCACCAATGTGTGCATGGACATGACGATTGGGGAAACTCAATTTTCAAGGATTCGGAACTCAAACTCACTCGCTCTTTCCGATGATCGATTCCATGAGGGTGTTCTTGAAGACGTCGCGGTTTGCAAAGTAGAGTGCTGAGCTGAAGTGGAAGATCTTGACTCGCGGAATTTCTTGGGCCTGCGCCGGAAAAGGTATTAAAATAAGGATTTGATTCGGTATACGCGTCTCGTAGCGTGGGTAGATTGAGCACACTCTTAGGGCATGCAGTCTCCATACTGTTTATTGTTTTTAACCTCTTTAGGTGTTTGGTGGGCGTACGAGAAGCAGTAGTCAAACACAAAACCGACAGAAAAGGCCAGCCTTTAATGTTGCTCGTTCTTGTTTTTCTTTTGTAAATTGTATAAAAAATATATGTTAGACTAACACGCACAGCTGTCTTTTTTATGTTTATCTACTTTGATATTGTTTTAAAGGAATGGCGGGCAATATAACACTTAGTTATCAAGAAGCGACGTAATTGTTACATATTTTATAGCCCAGTGACAATTTATTTTGCAATTGCTTTAATTGTTGCACTAAACACTGCATTTATTCGAAATAAAAGAAATTTAAAAAAAATAATGAGAGCAATCCAGGCCATTAAGTTTTATTTAGTTCGTCATTTAAGTGTAAAAGACGTAATATCATAAAACATTTTCTATCCTATAAAAATAGTTTACGCTTGAACATGTGTGAAAGTAAAATAAAGTCAAATTCCGAAGGGCAATAAGCTGTCAGTATTATGTGTATCGGTTTTCGGTATGCAGTATGGACGATAACGCACACTCGAAAATGTTTTGAAAACGTTATAGGGCCAAATGGTCGACCTTCGCTGAAGTTGGGATTTTACTTGCCTTCTTATAACGCTTGACGTCCAAATAGATGTCGGTGTCAGGAACATTACCGAGGAATGATACATAAGGCCTGTTGAAAGAGTCACAAGTTAGCCAAATTACTAACAGCGTAAAATAATAAAAAATAGCATAAAAAACTCAAAAGAAAAAAATGGAGAATTGAAAAACGAAATTCAGTAAAAAAAAAAAAAAAACCTTTGTTTTTTCTAATTTTCTAATTTGATGTTGTGCCCGGATGAATTCGGAAAGCACACTTACACGAGCGTTCTCAGGATGACGGTAACGACGGAAAAACCAATTCCGGCGCCGATTCCGATGTCGATGTCAAGTACCACGACAGAGGTGAAGGTGATCATCCACGTCAGCTGGCCAAGAGAAGAATAAACGGAAGAAACGTCGATAACTTGATTGGGGTCGTGTGCACCTTCCCATCCTTCCAACAGCTCATCGGCAGTTCAGACAACTACGTACGACATGCGACCACTTATTTTCCTTGCGTCATATTATATGAAATAAAATATTACTCGTTTGTCGCATATCGCGTAGATGCAGCGCTTTCAAAAACGTTTGTTTAAAATCGGATCTATCTCAGATGACATATCTAGCTTTGGCTTTACGGATACTAAGAACAACAAAAATGAGCCACGCTTCGGAGAAATTACACATGATCCATCTTGGTGCCTAAAATAATGTTTGCCAATTTTTTTAATCTTCAACCGAAATCGCAGGAAACGCTGTTCCGTCCTCTGGAGATTTTAAAACATTCCGAAGTCGAGCAAGGCAAAATCAACCGAGGTTCTCGCCACCCTGTCTAAAGCTAAAAAAAAGTGAAGTTTCAAATTGTAAAAATCGCAAATTGCACTCGCTCTGCACTAAACACTAACATGGTCGCGCATACAAAAAAATCGGGGGCTGCTTAAGCGTGGTTTACTTAATTGCTGTAACGAATACTATGTAGCGCGTTCAACGCTGAGGACGGAAGAGAGGTGCGACCGACTCCGAGTCAATAGGTGAAAACGTTCCGTTTAGATTGTTTGAGCCATCGCGCACATGACAACAAGTAACTTGGTTTTTTTCGTAGGGCGCCGAGACTCGACTGTTGGGCCACTACAGTCATAACTTTCAATTCTCTTGACGTTCTTAAAGTGCTGCGTGTTCGACAAAAAATACAAAAGAAGGAAAGCAGTCCGCCTCTTACAGCGTCCAGTCGGGACACCTTCCACGTGTTGACGCAATCCCTGACTTGGAACAGCATGCCCTTTAGCGCAACGATGATGACGGCGGACAGAATGCACTGTTGGGGGCAAAAATATACGAGATGAGAATGGCGCAACAAAATCCACAACCCAAAACACACAAAAAAAAAAGTAGCGCGTCTAAAAATCTGCAGCTTACGCTTGGTAACGTCCTGAAGAGCGGCCCGGCAGCAAGTATGATGACAATCACAATTGCAGACGAAATAACGGCTGCGAGCTAGGGAGGAGAAAAAAGAAAAGACATTTTAATGGTATACACACTGTTCAATACTTTATGAATTATTTTTTTCGCCTGACTATTTAGTTTCTTTCGTTATAAGCTTACATGTTTCATCGCTTATGATTGGATTTAGTTTAATTTCTATGTTCCAAGGCAGACATCAATGTAGATCGTTTCAGTTTATACACTTCATCACGCGCAAGGTTGCCTCTATTGAATATCGAGCAGTCTAAAGTTGGAAGTCAGAAAATGGCCTGAAGATCTAACTTCAAAGGTTTGAGCTTTCTGGACATTTTCGAACACTGACACTGCTGGGTTTAGTCTTTTTTTTTTTTTTTTCTAGCAGTGTTATACGGTGAAAATGCAAGGAACGTCTAGGCTTAATTTTTATTTCCCCCTTGTGTTTAAGTTGGTACGAAATTCTGTAGCTGAAAAACACGTGAAAAGTTAAGGATTAACTATTGTTGGCACACACCACACGACGGAATCGCAGTCGTTTAAGTTATAAAAAAATACCTAAAATGTGTTATTTATGATCACCTCATGATGCAACAACTTGGACACAAGCTGTTTTCGTATTACCATGTGTAAAGGCACGTTAACACCATCAAGTCGCAGCTGTCGCGCGACAACTTTTATCGCAAAAGCGACAGTCGTGAAAGGGACAGGTTTGAAGCAGTCGCTTCCAAACCGAATTTCGGGACTTGTCGCCGAGTCGCCCGGCGGCTGAACCAATACGCGGCGCTTCGGACGTAAAGAAAGGTGCGCCTCGCGTTTGTTTACATCCGGCACGCCTAACTTCTTTGGGAGACGCAGCAACCAACATGTGTGCTCATAGCCTCGGTTCGCGGTACCGGCCGTGGATACAGAGCCACGGAGGCCTCTGCGACCATCTCTGGTGAGCGCTTTTAAAGAATGCCCATTGCTTTATAAGCGAAGAACCCCGATTTCAACGAGTGCCTGAAAAAGAACTCGGTCTGGCACCAAATCCGTGTTACTCCTTGACAGGTGCGTACTGCGATGAGGTAGCTCAATCGAACGCACGCCGGTGTAGCGATTTCACTTCTTTGTACGGTTCCGAAGGACTCCGGTCAACATAACGAGTCTTTTTCACGTGGCAATGACGACGCATGTGTAGCTACGAGACAACGAAAGTGGAAAAGTTGCGAAACGCGAACCCAAGCTGTGGCGGGGTGCACTGAATCAACGGCGGCCCCAGAGAGCTTCCGAAGCTGTTCCAAAATTTACACGTTCTTACTCCAGGGTAACGCTTTTGTAACTTTTCGTTCGGAAACATACCCGCGTTCAGCGTTTTTCTATGTCTGTGTTGTCACGCGACACGACCCACTGGAGTAAATAGGATCCATTTGGGTAAGGTTCGGAACACAGCCCGAGAAGCGACTCGCCGATTGCGACTCACCAATCGTCCTCTGTTTGAACGTCGGTAGTCGCTTGTCACCAATCGCTGTCGCGACTGTCGCGAGTCACCAGTGTGAACGCGCCTGAAGGCTGAACCGCATGTAAGCGGTTTCGCGATCGACGAGATCACTGAAGCGGCAGCGACGAGAGTCACCAACGAGCGGCGGAGATTTCTCACTGTCACTCGTCGCGTCGCTCGGTTTTTCCATTTCTAGAAAACGTCGCTCATCGCCTTGGTCGCCCTCTCCCGTCGCTTTCATGTGGTTTGCCTCCTCGCGCGCTTGACAGCGAAGCGGGCCGCCGTCGCTTATCTATTTGCTCGCCAGTTCGCTTACATATGGTTTATACTTTAAGAGCACATTCACGTCAGTATACACATTAATAACGTCTTCACTACCGCCGTCCGAATTCGTGTAGATTATCGGCTGTGTCATAACCTTTTTAGTGAAGTAGTTATCACAGTACAGAATCTCTGTCCATTTATGTGCATATCGCATTTATTTTTCCCGGTTAAAATTTCTGGTTTCCAACTCGAACTGCATGACGCATTCACGAACTGATTTTCCGGCATTAGTGATTATTCAAAACCAAATCCTCAGTATCACTTCTTAGTCCCCGGCCAAGAATGGTGATACTGGTTGCAAAAGTGCGAGTTTTTGTAACCATATTAAAACATTTTTGCGTTCCTATGTACATATATGGTGTCAGCATTAGTTTTATTATCCTCATTTGTATTTTGCACTGCGCGAATGTGCCGAAGTTTTTATGCCCTTTGATTTATGCTTGAATATTATTCGTGTTCACAATTTTTACGTAACGTAATAATTACCTAAGTACTAAATTTCAAATAGAAGTAGTATATGTACTCATCTAACTTAGGCTTTTTCAGTGCTTTCTCTAACGTTTATTTCTGTGTTTAAATTCTTACCTAGGTTTATACATTTAGGTTGTCGTTTATAATTACCATTCTTCTTCCCGGATCTCGAAACTGCGACAGATGCCTAATTCGGCCCCTTACCAAAAAAAAGTTTGAGACCCCTGCTCTAAATCGAGACTTTAAACCGGGAAAATTGCTACGAACGATGCAGATCTCTCCGACATGGAGGATTCGAAGTGCACTATTTTCGCTCAGGGCGTAGCTGGTGTTTCCGGTGATGAAAATGACCATGAAGACTCCGAACATGGTTAAAATGAACACAAAACCTCCAATGAGCCGGAAAAGAAAACCCGCTGTTCTTGAACAAGAACAAAACATATTAGGAAAGTTCATATTCTATTATTTTGTGTGATATAATATAGTTTTTTTTTTTTGTTTTTTTTTTAGGGAAAAGACATGACACGGAAAGAAGATTCTCTAAAGCCAAGTCATCAAGACCCGCTGTCTCCTCATCAATATTTTCTAAAGTCTTCTACGGGAAGCTTTTGGAAGAATGCCATGGAGAGAGAAACTTGTACAGTGCATTGAAGCGCAAATATCCCCCAGTAAAAACCAGCAACATCGGCGTGATGAAGCTTGCAGGAATATACCTGTTCATGGCTGTAATGATTTGAGCTAAACTCAGGCACGTTAACGGCTGCCAGTCTGAGCTAGAAGTAAATATCCCAGAGACCTGGAATCATGGCCTAATCGAAGCGTCCAAGCTGAACACCCAAAAGGCAACTTTGGTCATTATCCAAAATGTGCTAGACTTAACAATTACATGTGGCACAGAAACACAAACTACAATACAAAAACTAGAGTAAAATGAATTAAATGTAAGTATTTCTTTACCTACAAGTAAAGAAGTGTTTTTGTAACGTTTGCAACCTTCAGAACTAATGTCCGAATTCATTGGACAGCTCTGTTTGCCCTGAAAAAATCAAACTAGATAGATAACTATTCTTACTAACACTGTCGACGAGATTTCTAATAAAATATGTTAGCTAGTTGTCACTTTTCTTACCTGAAGAGGCTATAGAAGCGGAAGTTCGCGGTGCATTCACTGCACTTGATTGACTTATAGCCCTATAAACCAGACGCAGCAAAGTGCTAAATGCTGTGACGTAGCACTTTTAGCTTTTTTTTGATGGCCTTATCTACCCTCAGCGTCGGCTACGATCTAGCTTCAGGTAAAACGAAGTATAATTGTAGCTAATTTACGAGGGTGCAGTGACCTACTAGAACAGACTAGAGACCAAACTAGTTTCTTGTCTAATCAGTATTCACCTGGTTGCTCAATCCGTATTCAACAACAAACCCATCAAGCCGACCCGCGATAAATGTGCGATGATCTTGAAAAAGTTAAACTGTTGCAAAGGGAAATGCAGGACGGGGCTCCCGGACTTACCTGTGTCTGGCCCCCTGCTTTTTCCTGGACGGAGCTTCTGGAGAGGGAGACGGCGCACGGGTAGCAGCCAAAAAAGGAAGTGATTACATTCGCGGCTCCGAGGGCGTTCAGCTCCTGGGAAGAAATTTCGACAATTAGGCCAGATAATTGGGACTGTCCGAAATTCGGGGAAAATGTTGTTGAGTTCCGCAATAAAGCATGAACGACGTGTAAGCGATTTTAAAGAGCGACAGACCAGACGACGGCGATGGACGACGAGATTTGCCGTCATCCCCGTCTGTCGCCCGTCGCTTTGCTCGTTTTCAGATTTCAACAAGAAAAAGAAAAAAATCGCTTGCTTTCACGCGTTGCTTGGATGTGACTCATGCGATGAGCCAATAGAATGAAACGTTTCGTGACATCACTATCGTTGTGCGCGTGCATGGTACCTTTACGGCTATGTGTACTTTGTTTATTATCGCCGCCAATAACAAACAATTTGAGAAATGCCTTATTTAATAAGAGGAGCGAGAAAGATTACTGTGAGACATGGCCCATTTTTAGTAAACAGAATCCAGAACGCGATGCGTGGCGCCGCATCGCAGAGACGCTCGGATCCACGTGTGAGCGAAATTGAAAATGGTCGCATGTGAACGTCTGCCACATGATTAGAAGCAAATACCTTTAACTGTGCTTGTATTATTTCACCAAATTTCGCCTAAACGTTAAAAAATACTGTTAGCGCAGTTCCTCCAACGTTATCTTTTGTATACATTCAGGTTTGAGGTTGAGACACTAACACGCGAGCAACAGTGGAAAGTAGTCCCGTCGCTGCTCCTCATCGCGACCTGCGCCGCTTGTATGTGGTTTCGATGGACCTAGCGGCAGTGGGTCCTGTTGCGTCGCTTTGTCACTTGCAAGAATCGCGCATATGCATTTCGTACGTACTGCAATAACATAAATGCACTATTTATTTTACTTAAAAATTGATAGTGACCTTTATCCCCAAAGCCCTACGATGCGCGGAATGAAGTATTAAGAAGCAGTTGTTAAAATCTCTTTAGGAAACATTGAACGTCACATGACGTTATTGTTCCAAGTCGTGGTGTTACGTCATATTGGGTATATGAAAGAAGAAAATATTTCTGGGAAGGAGGGCTTCCGTTATAAGGGATTTCATGGTTTAAAACTGGCAAGAGCACTACTACCAAGAGTGTTTCCAATGATAGTTTTACTTGTCGCTTAAGCGCATAATCTTCTGCTAGCACGCGCAAGTCCATATTTTATCCGAAATAAAATAAACAAAATTATATTTCGAAGTCTAAAACTAATTTTTGGCACCAAGTTTACGCCCAAATATTTCCTTTTTGCCGGTTAGTAACCATCAAAATTAAGCGCGGAACAATTTGGCATGTTTCTATGTCTGCATGATTTATTGATTATTTTCTCGGGCAACGCCTTTCAATCTTTATCAACTTTTAGTGGAACTGTAAGTTTGATTCGTGTTAAATAACGTCGCACGGTTTAATAGTGTTTTTATACTAACCTGGTTGGGGTCAATTTGGTATCTGTGCCTCTTGGCAAAGAGCTTGGCCATAGAGAGAGCGATGGTGAAAGACACGATGGCTATCACAAAGCCGTCCAGAATCAATCTGACCATTAGGTCCACCCTTGGAACTTCCGGAACTGGAAGTCTGGAAAAAAATAAATTCAACTCTTTTCGCACTTATTCGTATTAGAGATTAATATATTATTAGCGCGGTACAAAACTATTCAAAATGAAATATCTCAATATAAAGCAAGCCTATATGTTTTCACTCTGAACCTTGAATTTATAGCGAACTGGTTTGCTGCAGTTTTGTCATCCTCAAAACAAAGTTGATAAAATGACAAAACGTACTCCGTACAGTTTCTGAGAGGTACAAGAGATGGCAAAGCCATACTGATAAAGCTAAACAAATAAAGCAATTGAGCTAGTGACGGTTTACAATGAAGACTCGGGATAGAAGCAAAACTAAATTAACAGAACGGTCAACGTGCGTGCAACTATTCTGTATTCTCAGTTTTGATATAACTCCTACAATCATGTTATTGATCAAGCAAAACCAAAATTCCCAGAGTTGTAAAAAAAAAAAAAAAAGTCCATTTAGAATAACCAAGCGGTTTAATTCCTATTCTTAAAACCATTAGAAAAAATTCCTGTTATTGAATTAAGATAAAGAAATTATGTAAAACAGTAATCCAGAGTCACTAAATGCAACGCCAGCGTAGCACTGGCCTTCGTCACGTTTGATAAAGCTGAACTTACCCGGTAGGAACATATCCCATCACTTTGACGCCGTAAACGTGATTAAAATCACAAAAATAGCTTATTGCAGTCGCGGCAATAATCTGAAAAGGGAGAGATGTAACATGAAAAATTCGCCTATAACGATATTTCCAAGCTGCCATGGTGCCACGCTGCCAGATTTAAACTTCAAAATGGAAGAATGGACTAGGGCCGTTAGGGATAACCAGTGTTGTACATGTTCCTAAAAAGAAAAAAAAATGAAGGAAAGCTTGTTTCTTTTGATTTTTGAAACGCGTTCCCTTTACACGTTTCATATATATAAAAAAAAAATCTCGTTGCCGTTACAGTTGAAAAAAAATGGAACGTATCGTAACATATACGTTACATTTGCATTTTGCTAATTACAATATTTAGTTAGATCGAGGACAGTTTTCTTTTTTTTTTTATCGATCCCTTCAAATGGCAACATGCGAATTTGAATGTCCGGACGGAAGGGAACCAGGAGAAGAAAACAAACGCAAGCAGGGTTTCATTTGTTGATGCGCAAACTGCAGACAATGCACAAACTGCATTTTGGCATTCAAGGCCAACGTACACTTCGCGCTTTCCTATTTTTCTTGCTCCTTACTTTTCTCTATACTGTGCAATCTTCAACTTCCCTAACACGGTTGTTCTTGCAGCTTAGGAGAGGAGGGCGCTAAGAGGATTATTTTCCCTGTAGAAGACCGAGTTTGTACGTCTGCCTTTAAGGTCAAACCTGTACGACAGCTTCAAACTTGTAGGAACATTTCGCAAATTCTCTTTTCTCTCTATATGCCGTGTGGGACATTAGGCACGAGGCACTGAACATAAATATGCCGGGTGTTTTATAGGTTTTACAGGTTTTTTCTTTAAAAAAAAGTCCTGCTATGCGATCTCAGCACGTGAGTTAATTACTTGGCCAGGGGAACCTAATAGAGGGAGATAATCGTCATGAGAAGTCGGATAATAAAGCAAACTCTGTTAATTAACTTTTTATGCAGTGAAAATAAACATAGTTCCAACTAAAGACCACCAAAGAAAAGGAATTAAGTTAAAAAATTGAGCCATGAAAGGATCTTACAACAATGAGATCGATGGGCACAGGCATCTTCAGCTTGGCCTTGTAGCGGGCGTTGATGCCCTCATGGACGGCGAAGCAGGCGACCATGGCCGTCACTGAAATGGCCAACGTGACCAGGTTCGTCTTCCCCAGATTCTGGACTACGTCACGCACAATCTTGAAGTAACAAACGGGGAAGGCACCAACGCGTGTTAGTAACCAGGCACATGCAATCACGGAAAGCACAAAAAAGAAACCAAAGAAACAACGCGAGCTGAACGCAATGGCTGTCGCCAACTGACTCATTCACGGCTACTACTACACGCTTGTTAAGATGGAAGCTTCGTCGAGCTGGCAATGCATAGCAGTAACAGCGCAAAAAGACAAGGACAAAAAAGAAAGATACACACAGAAGAAACAATGACGCTGACCATGTTATTGTTTCTTGCAAAGACGTCGAAGAACCGTATGAGCTGTATACAGCTCATACGGTTCTTCTAAGTCTTTGCAAAAAAATAATACCATAATACAAATGAAGAAAAGAAGACGAAGGAAGTATTAGCAGCGTTATTGCTGCTTATAATGATATAGACGTTTGCAAGCCTAGGCGCCGCCATCTTGCTGTCAGTGCGTGTAGATCAAGGAAGTTCAATACCCCCGGAGCCGCCATGACTTCATGCTCAGCGGTGTTGGAAGAACTCAATCCCAGACATCCTTGAGCACTGACGCTGCTCTTAGTCTGCTCGCCTCTCGGTCGGCTCGGACGGCTACGTTAGGCCTGAGCTTACGTTACTAGATTACCTTAGCTGTGGAACTTCCGAGGTCCAAAGACATTGTGAGGTCCGAAGATGCACACCTCAAAATGTCTTTGGACCTGGGAAGTTGCACAACTAAGGTGGAACTTCCTAGCATTAAACACATCCATGCCATAAAAGACTCCAACCATAGCCCTGAAAAAGTGTCTCACGTTTCGAAGTCTGCTTGGTTTCTTCCACGGGTGACTATCTCACACGGAGAAAAGAAAACGCTGGGCGTCATCTACCAGATTCCGGCGCGCGTTCCGCGCCACCCACAAGAGCAAAGCAACGGTCTTTTCAGAACGAATCCACCAGCACAAAAACGACGTGCGAAAATTCGAAAGCGAGCGCAGAGCGTTGTCAAACATTGCAAGACCCTCGATCATCGAATTGACTTCGCGAACGCACGAGTAATCGACACCGAACATTATTTTTTGGAGAAGACGTTCCCTGGAATCGTGGCACATCCAACACCAGAAGATCTAAACAGGTCCCTGTGACCCTTGCCATTTCTATACGCTCAGGGCCTACACCACCTGACAAAGACAATAATGAACCTCTTTCGTAAAAAAGGATTGTTCATGACAGACGAAAAAGACGAGAGAGACTGCGATTTCGTCACCCCGAAGAAGTAACCAAACAGGTTTAGAAACGCTGGGACACTTTTTCGAGGCTTCGGTTGTAGGGTGTAATTCTTATTACTATGGCTCCACCCAGCCTGTCAGATTTCTGTCGAAGGTTTCTACGTTCTGGTACTTACATAGATACACTTGAAAATTCCCGGATACGACTTGATGCTGATATCGAAGAGGGATTTCAGTTGAGAAACGACCACTTGAACAGCGGCGCCAGTCGTGAATCCCGAGACCATGGGTTCAGACATGAAGATAGAAAGAATGCCCAAGTGCAACATTCCCATCAAGAGCTGGAAAGTAAAACGAAGCATTGAATATGGAGATTTTTGTGGTTCGCCCTTTCACTGCAAATAAAACGAGTGATTCGTTTCTTAAATGTAATGTGGTAACGAGTTTATTTAGTTTGCTCTCTTAAATTTACCAGCTGGCTGACAATTGCTAAATGTTGTTCACATCTCCAGGTCACTCTTTAGCCTCCACAGTGAAAGCTATCAAAGGTGTATATTTTTTTAAGGTGCATCATCATTATTTCTGGGAAAAAGAACGAAAGAAAAGAAAATGAAAAACGTTTACAAATCTCTGCAAGGCGAAACTAGAGCGAAGCTTTCGAGGAGGAGGAGGGGAGAGTACGGAAGGGAGGGTATGCTCCTCCTCCTCCGTATCCTCCCTCCTCGTCGTCCTACCCTACACCCCGACCCTAATCCTCCCTATCCTCCCCTCCTCCTTCCCCCACCTCCTCCCCCTCATCCTGCCGCTGAATTTGTTCATGGGGGACGTGACACGAAGTCGTGGTATCATTTTCCCCGCTAAATTTAGCGGGGAAACTGAGATGGTGTGTAGGTCTCGTTACGTCAATTTCCCCGTTAAAGTTAGCGGGAAAATTTACCACTAAGTTTAGCAGGAAAACTTCCCGATAATTTTAGCGGAAACATTTCCCCGCAAAACTTTAGCAGAAAAATTTTCCCGCTAAGTTTAGTGGAAACATTTTCCCGCTAAAATTAGCGGAAAATTTTCCCTGCTAACTTTAGAGGGGAAAAATCCAATAATTCAACGTGAGGTTACGCCGACGCCGCTCAACCTGGAAATGGGAGCTTAGGAGCTGCGCTCTGAAACACGTAGAAAACAAAGATGCAGAAACGACGAGTGTAAGCCACGCTTTGCGTATCGACACTATTGCTACCTGCTAGAGCCCTAGTCTCCATGCTTAATTCTGACGCGGCAATTTCTAGGATTGTTATGTGAAGGTTTGTTCCATTATTCGTTTATTCCAAGATATGTATTATGCTGTACTTCCTGAAGATATTTCGTGTCACGTGTATTGAAGGATATACGCATGCGATCATCGATATGCTAGCAATCTCAAGGTTCCTAGCGCACCACCACCCTTTCAACAAACCTGCCACAGGGCTAACTTGCGAAGTGCATAATGCCAAGGAGGCGCTAAAGCTTACGCATATGGATGAATATGTCATAGTACCTGAATGACGCCGACGACAATTGCCAAGGCAGCCAGAACTTCCATGCTCGTGGGAACAATGTCGTCGCTCCCTTCTGCCAGTCTGGCTTGCTCAGTGCTGTTAAGGGTGGCACCGTCCTCTTTCGGTCCCGTGACGCTTATGAGAGCAGACGCCGAGAGAAGACTAACCACTGCGAACGTTCCTGGAAAAGAAACAGGAGTATGTTAAACGTTTACCAGCATCCTTCAATGACCCCTGAAAACCCCAACATCAATATCTCTTTTAATGTGTCGACGACTTAAGTGGAGCGTCATATCCCCCAAAAAATTTCACTGCCAGAAACAAACATTTAAGCGTGCAATGTAGACTGTCAAAAATACGCGTCCTCCTCCCCCAAACTGGCTGCTTCCTCGTTTTACAGCGAAGCTGTATATGACTCACAGGTAAAACTCCTGGAAACTTTTCAAGTCATTAACATCTCGAAAAAAACTCTTTAAGCGATTGAACAACACCATCTAGAATAATCAAATCCTCCGCATGGTCCCCTTTCCCTTCATGAAACGTGATCACAGTCGGAGCGCGCTAACTCGGCTATTAGGCCCGAGTAGGACCTTCGAGGCGCTGATTGGACACGAGCCCCGGCCGAACATTGACGCGGCGCTCGTGCCCAATCCGAGGCCTCGTTCGATCTGACAGTGATGACGGTGCGGAGGCCTTCTGCTTACCTGTGTGGTGTTGAATTGAAGCAAAAAGTGCACACCACGTGTACAACACACAGCACAGCATTTGTTTCAATGAATAGCAAACACAAAACAAGCATCCGAACCAGATAATTGGTGACAAGGCGCTCCTGATAATAACGCAAAGCACGTAGCGCTCACCGCATACGTTAAGTGGTGAAGATTACTTTTGCGCAAGCTGCCGTGGCGACGGCACCTTGCAACGTGGGGCGTGACGTCACTAGCCTTTCGTATTATAAGACCCTTTTGCTGTTTACAAACATGTAATACCGCCAATTGCGTCCAAGCGACTTCCGGTCGCGTCTTTGCAATCCTGTGGAGCTCGTTTATGTCACCGGTGCTAGAAAAAATAAATGCTACACGGACAACAACCTTTGGAAATTTAACGAAGGCCTTCGGCTGTACAGTTTAATGTCTTGGAGGAATCAAGTTTGTATTCCACGAATATTCGAACATTTTTAGTAGATCTCGCGCTTCTTCGTGCTCTTGGTGTTCACCTGGACTCCTGAAGAATTGGTAACGTTTCATCGACATTTCAAGTGGCAGTGTTGAGGTGGGCTTTGTTTATTGTTTTGATGAACCGGAAGTTCTCTGGGGCGTCAAAGACTAGAGTGCCGCCTGGCAGCTTTTGCCATGAAAAGGGTCTATATAAAACGCATAGTAACCCTGAGACGTAGAAAAATAAAAAAAAAACGGACAAAACAACGAAGTCTCTAACACAGCTTGAAATTTATTTAACAACCATCGTCTTATATACATCTCACAGACCTCCATCACAATTCAAAAGACCTCCTCGCCCACTTCACAGCCTAACCTAACCGTCAACCTATACCGACAAACCCACAGAAAAGCGAACTCGCCCGAAACACAAAGGGACACAAACTCGAAAAGGGAATACAAGAACTTCCGCCGCACCTAATTTTTCGGTCAGTTTTTTTTTTTTTTTTTTTTTTTATTATTTTGCTACGTTTCAGGATTACTATGGATATCATTCACCAGCTCGCCTGCGTTTTTTACCTTTCTTCACTATATAAAACGTTTTGTTACAGTGCATTTACTTTTCTTTCGTCAATCATTTGGTATAGTAGTGGGCAATCGTTGCAGGCGGTACCATAGTTTCGCCAGCCGACCACCTTTACAGTGGGGATTGGCGCCCCGACATTTTTGTTTTGCGATGATCTAGTAAGCGAAGGCATTTTTTCACAACTTTAAAGGTTTAGAAAGTTGCATGTATGAAACAATTGAGAATAACATCCATCAAACATAAGTTTTACGACTATTGCAAGCTCACTGTGCAGCAGGCTTCTAAATATAGAGTTTTAATTAGTAGATCGTTTCGATACCTATATACAATACGGCACCCGATAAGAATACGATCCATGCGCAAAGGCGTCACCAGAGGATCGGGTATCGTTATCGGAGCCATCGTAACGATCTACTAAAACACCATAATGTAAAAACTCAGAGCCCACGTTAGATACGAGAAAACGACTTTCTTCTATTGATTGTTATTTTTTTTTTTTTTTTGCTACTCTCAACATGATGACTCTCGACCGCTGTGCAGAGAGGGCGTTCAGAGAAATCGGGACGATTTGAAAGTCGGCGACGGTTTGAATAAGTTTTTTTTATTATTATTTATTTGTTGTTTTAGATAATCGTTTTTATCTTTAAAATAGCAACGGGCGAGAGATCTAGAAGCTTGGGTTATCTTTCGCGTTACTCACCGAAGTCCGCAAGACGTCGTTTTTCTTTTTACTTTTTCAAAATACGTTATAGAACCGCTAACTATATACACGCTTTGCGGCGGCTGCCCTTCATCTAGTATTGTTTTTCTTATTCAGTTTCCTCCAGTTATTTATATTTTAGATTCTTCTGCGTCCTTCTCCCAAGTATTAGCCTTTGTGGAGGGTCGTCAACGTCCGCTTCAGTGGCTCGGCATTTCGGTAAGGCAAGAGAAGGTCAGCAAAGGCGGCTGTATCTGGCGCCTGCGTAAATCGTCTGCACGCTCGGTTAGCCGGATGGCAGATTCGTGTGCTCATAATAGTCGGGATGGATAAACCAGAAAAAATGCAAATTCAACCAAAATTTCGGTTTAAACCCAAATAAAAAATAAAAAAAACAACAGAGCGCTCTATTGTGCCATCACGTCATTGATTCGAAGAGAAGTTTCAATGCTGTTTTTTTTTTTTAATTATCCTTTTTCTCTTTAATTACATCATTCCTAAGATAAACAATTTTGGAATTATGTTTAGAAATAATCACTTCCAGTCGTTTTCTACAATGAAATCAATATCGAAGTTGGTACTGTCAGTGGCCCTTTATTATACCAAGGAGGCTAAATAAGCAAGTCGAAATTTGCTGTAAATTTACGCTACGCTGACAACTCGGTCTAGTAGCACCGATCGAAAAACAAAACCTGCTCAGAGTACCCAAATGATAACAAAACAGCCTGGTGAAAAGGGTGAGGCGCCCCGCCATTTTGATTCGAGGGAACATGGCAATGAGCCATTTTTCTATAGAAGAAAAATATTGGTTCTATTTTGAGGTAACGATATCTTCCGGCTGATCCTCTGAGTTCAGATTTCTTTTGTCAGTTTTTGACAAGAAAATATCCGCAACTTTGTAGTCAAAGGTTTCTTGAGTCCTGTTCTTGCGTTATAACTTTTCCAGCGAAAAAAGGCTCAAATAAAGTTCTGGCTGCTGAGGTACTGCAATGCTTCGACGATAAGGAACAAAAGTCCGGCAAGAGAGCTTGGACCAAAATTTTGTCTGCAGATGTTCAATTCCAAAGTAATACTTGTCCCCCGTGTCTCGTTCTCAGACCCATTGCTTCCGACACGGGCCTGGACTGTTAAAGATCTCGGAAGGGCAAAGCCGAAAGGATTGGTAAATAGCGGCCGAAATTTTGTTTAAAAAATGGCGATGCATTATACTGGATTACTGATGACTTCACAGCGTGTATATTTGCGGCCCGTGGAGAATAATTCCAGTAGGCGCAACACATTAACCGCGAAAGATAAGTATCTGGTTGACCAACTTACCGACAGAAACGTGCTTGGACGTCCCCATAAAAAAATAAACAATGGCAGGGAAGGCAGAAACGTAGAGGCCATTGATGGCTCCCGCGCCAGCTAACACTCCATAAGCTAAACCTGAAACACCCAAAACCAATCAGACTCGGTTAGTATCAGCAGAATAGAAAGCACGCTACCCGCTATCGCTCTTCAACAAATATTACCAGGAACTTTTCGTAGATCGTAAGCGGCGGATGGCGGGCCCTGCGAGCGCACAATCAAACCGTGCTCAACTTGATGGCGCGAGCTCCTGCTAGCGACGCAACGCTCGTAAGAACGATGTGCGAAGGGTCCCTATTCGGACGTTTTAGAGTAACGTACGAAATTTAAGCGCACGTTATCGCATGTTACGCAAGAGAGTTTTAAAGTAGCGTTTCTCCAACGTGAAGCAAAACCCAAGCATCTTGCGCTAATGTGCGGGAGGCTGTAAAGTAACAATATTTTTTTTTTTTCACCACGAAGATGAAAAGAACACAGGTTTTCGGCCCAGAGTAGCATTTCAAACTTCTCTAAATATGCAAAAGCGACGCGTGGGGTCGACCGGTCGTGCCCACTGGCGTCGCTTCGGCGAAAAAAGTCTCGTATACTGACATTAAAAAAAAAAAAAAATTGTGCGTCGCAAGTTGCTGACGACCGTCGCCCAACTTGCTGGATGTTCTAAAAGATGCAACAAGGTGGATCCTCGGGATTCGGGATGCCTCCGAGGTCGCGCTCACGACGGCCACGGTCCTGGGGGTCGCCTCTTTCTAAGTGAGCCTGTCTTGGCTTTAGGGAAATTTTACCGCATAAAGAATCCTGTTTGGAGCAACGCAAAAACGTTTCTGCGTACGCACGAAGTTTCCGAAAAATAGGGTACGCAAAAATAGTGCCTGGCAAGACGCTGTTAGCGATCGGCGCATGCGCAGTGGCGTCGGCGCTATTTTTTCTGAACGCCAAGCTTTTGCTTACGCTATTCCAGAACAATCTTCATTAACTTTCGAACCTTGACGCAAATTTGAGTGATAGTAGTCATAAAAAAATCTCCTGGTTTGAAATTTTGTCAAATACGGTCCAGGGGCGATAGCACTTGTTTTTCTATGGTAAATTGAAGTCGTGCGAGCTGAGTTCACACGACATGGTCACGTGACAAGATGTCACTGTACCACGTGACCTGACATCGCATGACGTCTAGTAACGTGACATTAATTTCCCCGCTAAATTGACGGCATGACGTCACGTGACCACGTCACGTTATCTTCTGGGGTCACGTGACGTCCGAGGGTCACATGACGTGACTGCAGAATTTTCTCGCTAAATTTAGCCAGCAGATTTAGCAAATTTTGTCTCCAATGGGGTGAGAGTCATAACTGATTCACAAAAAAAAAAAGAACAAACACGCACGCGAAAAAAAAAAGAAGAAAACAGTCGCATTGAATTGGCCTTTATTAACCATCGAGGTCTCGAGGGCTCATTTATTTCGCGAAGGATATGCAAAGCAATAACTAGAAAGAAACCTATCCAGATCTAGCCGGTGTTTAAAAAAGAACCGCAATATTTGGGATATCTCCTACTTAGGCTGACATTAAAAAGCAGCAGGCAATCCCCTCACCTTGCGGTATGTGCATGATGCTCACAGTGAAACCAGCCACGACGTCATTCACGAGGTGCTCCCTGACCCGGTATCGGGGTAACCAGTGCAGAATGGGAAATATGGAGTAGAGGAGGCTGAGCGGCGTGCAGGAGCAGCACGAGAGGAATTTGCGCTTCATCTGAAGGGGACAGAAGAGAAAACGAGCATTTAGCTCGACCCGATAGCGTCCGCTGCAACATTCTGTTCGAGCAACACTATCGTCTATCAAGTACGTACAATCAAAATCGTCTACCTTTCTCTTGTCCGGATCCAACTGCGAATGCGTTAGGAACAAGTTGACGGAAATGTTAGTATGTCTTTTTCCGAACTCAAACCTTCTGTTGTGCAGCAGTCAAAATAATTGAATTTAGTAATTTTAATACGAGTGGGAAAATATCCGGACTGTTTTTTTTTAGATAATATATTAAACGCTGACTGGAAAAGGTACTACAGTATACACACACGAAAGAAGTAAAAAAAAAAGAAAAGATTTTTAAGACTAACGATTGATAAAAAACAAAAAACGTTCTTTATTGCGCCTTACACAAAGTAACTCAAGGAACGTGTAATACATGCCACGTCATTTAATATATATATATATATATATATATATATATATATATATATATATACAGGGTGTTTTTTTTTAAGCTTAACAGATTTGTATAAAAAAAAACGTGAAAGGTACACTTATGCCGCTTGTGGAGTTGAGTTATACGGCCAGGGGGACATATTATAGGGGGCTAATCGTAACGATCAGTCGGCTAATTAATTAAAATTCGTTAATTAACTTTTAAATTAATGAAAATAGACATATGGTTTCAATTAGAAACTTGCTCAGCGTCATCGAAAACCCCTAAATCAGTCCTTTTCAGAAAGACTTTGAGCGCGTGAGAAGCGTAGTAGTGCACTAAAGTTACTGCTCTTTGAGCAGGTATACAAAGCTAGCGGTTGCGATAAGGCGCCTGCGCGATTTTTCCGCCTCTTATCTAGCACCAGCCTTGTACCTGCTCCACGAGTAGTAACTTTAGTACAATACTACGCTTCTCACGCGCCGAAAGTCTTTCTGAAAATGACTGATTTAGTGGTTTTTCATGACGCTGAGCAAGTTTCTAATTGGAACCATATGTCTATTTTTATTAATTAAAAAGTTAGTTAACGATTTTTAATTAATTAGCAGACTGATCGTTACGATTAGCCCCCTTTAATATGTCCCCCTGGCCGTATAAGTCACCTCCACAAGCGGCATAAGTTTACCCTTCACGGCTTTCTTTAAACAAATCTTTTAAGCTTAAAACAAAAATTCCTGTATATATATATATTCTGCCTCGGCGGTTATCTGTGAAGCCTGAGAAAAATTTGACGCCTAAACCTTGAGTATAACGTATCACTCGCAGAAGGCAAGGTGTTTGCCATAAATTCATATTACTTGAGACAGAACGTGAAGGTGGTTATTTGTCACGCCTGAAACATCTGCCCGTAGAAAGCAAGGTATTTGCCATAAACCCGTATTACTCGATACAGAAAGTGAAGGTGAGAAGTCGCCTTCACGGCAAGGTTCAAATGCAAACCTAGCAGAGTACTAGTGACGTTTTCTCACTTTTTGCGAGAGCGGTGAGTCCGTGCTGTCTTCCCCGTAGTTCTTGACGAGATCCTCCTGGTTCATGGCGTGCCGGTGGATCCTGATGCGGGGCTTGGAGCAGTCCAGGTTGTTGTTGCTGAGGTTCGGGTCCTGAGGAAAAACGAGCCCTGGTGGTTAGCGGTGTAAGAGCAATAGTCATGGTGTTTTTTGCATTCAGAGATTCTGGGACTGTGGAAATGAAAAACTGTACAAAACATCTTGATGACTCTCCAGCGGAAGAGGCATCAGCGGCAGAGCAGAGACTTCAGCGAATAAATGTGAGATAAATGAAGCATATCTCCTCAAAATTTTGTTCTGATATCTAGTTAACAGGGCAGATCTGCAAGTCTTAAGGCCTTCTTAATATATCCAATCCCACACAGACCGTTCCTAAATCAGTTCTTTTTTTATCTTCAAAGAACGTAACTACATTTAAGTGGACGATGGTGTACTATCGGAGACCACTTTAAAAAAATACATATATTTATATATATATAAAAAACGCGGCGACCCAGTCGTAGACAGTACTGGGGTCAATAACAGATGGAAGCAAGTTAAGAAAGCTGGTGCAAGCTTAGTGATAACATCGCTGACTGACTAACCCTGAAAAAAATTACGCGCATTTTCGGCCTCTTTTTTGTAACTTTGTCATACGTTCATATAGGAGATAATCTTATTTATTTTCAACGGGATGATAAAACGCATTCATAAAAAAATACTTTGAATATGTCTATCAATATTAAAGAAAGATAACTTTGTTTCAATTCAACTACATTACCCTCCACGACTAAAGTTAGCGGTCAGTGCGACGGTCGTCCAAGAAGGTACAGTTCACCCCTTATGTGCTTTACTCAAAATTCCCACAATTTCTGTCAAAAAAAAAAAAAACTGCTTCGCCTACGTATTTTACAAAATACACCTGATATGCTCTATCCAATATGTGCATAAACGAAAAGAGAATGAACAAGGGGGAGGGTCATAAAAGGCTTGTTCCACAAAATGCTACTTACGCCGTTCCGAGAGCACTTAAAGCGTACCGTCTAGTTTTAGAGTGCAAGGAAAGAATGGCCGTATATGGCAGGACACAGGCTAGCGCGAACAAGCGATCGCCGGTTTCTGTTGTTTCTCACCTAAAATCAAAGAGCTGTCGAAAAAAAAAAAAAAAACCTAATTACTTGTGTGCTAGCAAGCTCTTATGTGGGATACTAAGTGGCAAAATTTGATGCCCGGCAAAACCTTTTCTAAGTAAAATGCAAAAAAGCGTCGATATCCTGTTCGCGCTGGCAGTGTCGCAGAGTGTAGCAACGTACAAAAACCGACAAAACGCACCCGAGCCTACAGCATAGAAATTTGAAAGAAATTCAAAGATTCGTACCTGGATCCGTAAGACGAATCTGAGTGATTCGGAAGAGACACGGTACCTTGCTCTAGAGAGGAGCATGACAAATACGAAAGCCACTACCCTGTCACCGAAGATTGGCCGGGAATAGCTGGCGCGGAATAGAAGCGCTGGGTACGATAGTCCGGGCGGACGTAAACGGATCATCGGGACGGATGTAAACGGATAATCGGGGCGGATGTACAATCGGGAACAAAACTTTTTGCGGAGCATGGGAGCGCTGGCCGATACGCATTCCTGCGCCTCCTGATGGCGCCGGCGCCTGCTGCCGAGACTGGCACCTGGTGCGCGCCGGCGCATCCTATAACACTCGCAGGGATATCCATTCTCTCGTGTATGGCAGCCGTTCTCAGACTGTCGGTAACATGACGCGGGACGCCGCCTCGGAGGCAGCCGCGCCAAAGAGCCGAGCCTGTCAGTTGATGTGGGGAAGATTCCTTCGTCTGCCTTTGTCTCCTCCACCGTGGTCTCCTCCTCAGTCGTCGAATGCGTTAGAAAGCGGAATGCCGGCGTCCAGCGTTTGGTACTCGCCTTGAACGCCTCCGAACGTGTTCGATGACGGCGTTTGACATCCCCCGCGCGCCCTAGTCTCCTGTACTCCCTCAGTTTCTTGGCGCATAGGTTGCCGGAAGGTCTGTTTGGAATCGCATCATTAGTGGGCGCCAAACGTCAATTAAAGCCTGTATATTTAGGCGCAAATTTTGTGCTTTTTGGGGATATTTGACACTGATTGCTTTTGTTGTTGAGTCTACAGCTAATAATATATGTGCAGGATGCCGGGTCCCACCTACAAGCCCATCTGAGCTATTGGGGATCTGATCAATATTCTGCATATGTTTATTTTTGTACAAAAATATCGAAGCAATACTACACTGCCTCCAGACAGAGTTACAGACGTTACCATCAAGAATGTGAAGGAAAGTTAGAAGGTTACTCAGAGTATTTAACTAGGAGCGATATGCATAGGTATCTGCCATACCTAGGAGCGATATGCATAGGTATCTGCCATACTTTGAAATGAAATGGCAGACAGGGAAAGGCATTCCATTTCATTTCCGGTAAAGTTGCAGGTATGGAAATTTTCCTATTACAGTAAGGTTGCGTTGGAAACAACGCTTCTCAACCAGATCTCCTCGGCACAACTAGCAAACAACCATTAAGGCGTGTTCACACAGCACCGTTTTCTTACGTTTGACTGCGCGGTATACGAAGCACATCCGTGCATCGTATTCCGCGTGCCAAGCTAGTACGGACGTGCCGGTGAGTAAAGTCATTGGATCCGGGGTAATTAGTGTCATTGCTTTCCCTGCCTGATAGCTGGACACATACGAACATACAGACGCCCAAAACCTCGCAAGGCCATTGGTAGAAGATTGGTTTCATGGCAATCGCTATTTTTACTCCTTTCAAACCTCCGAAGCCTCGAAAGGGTCGTCCCGAATCAGCCGCGCCAAGAACGCTACGGAGCGTCATCGTACTAAAGGCGTACCTCGCCAATATGTAAGCGTAATTGGCACTGTATATGCAATCAACCTATTGATCATGCTTATCTCCATATATATCTTTTAATGAGCTTGTTCTACTCGCGTACTTTAAGACTGGATTTTTTTTTTTGAAATAGTGTCAAGCATCGACTCCGCATGTGGTATTAACGAAATCTTGGTACACAAGTATTGTCTTTTGAAAGCAATCTGTCGAAGCCGAAATTTTGGATCGGCTCACCAAGAATGAAGAGGTCAAGGGAAAACCGCTTATCCCATGAACCAAGATGGCTACCAAACGGAGAGCTGGGCGCTACTTTCCCAGGATCCTATGACTTCAGCAGTGACTTGCAGTCGGGTCTCGGCGTAGGCATACGCAACATATGTAAGGTAAATAAGCGGTACTGCGTGAACCAGCCTTTACTCGCCACTTGCTCGGTAAATGTTAAATGGTAAACGTGTTAAATGTTCTTTTCGCAAAAGAGGCGAAATTGGTAGCTCCGTTACAATTGAAGGAAACACGAGACAAATAATTTTAAATTTGCCGATTCGAATGAGGATTATCCTCATTCGAATCGACAAAAAAGTCGTTCCCCCTGACGGGACACTGTCAGGGGGAACGACTTCGGCGCTTTTTAGAGCGCAGCTCTTAGGGGCCCGTTTCCGGCTTGAGCGGCGTCGGCGTCGCAGTCGGCGTAACCGCTCGTAACACTCGTGACCCTCGTGAGGGTTACGAGGGTTACTCTCGCGAGGGTTACGAGGGTAACCCTCGTGATCCTCGTGAGGGTAGCAACCCTCGTAACCCTCACGAGGGTTACAAGGGTTACTCTCACGAGAGTTACGAGGGTTACCCTCACGAGGGTCACGAGGGTTATGAGAGTTACCCTCACGAGGGTCATGAGGGTTATGAGACCCTCACGAGGGTTACCCTCACAAGGGTTACTAGGGTTATGAGAGTTACCCTCACGTGAGAGTAACCCTCGTAACCCACACGAGGGCTACGAGGGTTACTCTCATGAGGGTTACGAGGGTTACCCTCACGAGGGTCACGAGGGTTATGAGAGTTACCCTCACGATGGTCACGAGGGTTACCCTCACGAGGGTCATGAGGGTTACCCCCTGAGGTCGCGTGACCCTCCGCTGAGGTCACGTGACCCCCCTCAGGTCACGTGACCCCCTGATGTCACGTGACCCCCTGATGTCACGTGACCCCTCCCCCGCCGAGGTCACGTGACCTCAGGGAGTCACCTATCCTTCAGTACCCTTCCATCCTATCCCTCAGTACCCTTCCATCCTTCTCCTCAAGAGCTGCGCTCTAATCCGGCGTTACAGGGAGTTGTAAACGGCTTTCATTTTTTGCATTTCATTTTCAAATGGTATAGGCGAGCATCGAAATTCACCACTATGGTTAATACCCCAATTGAGTACTTTCCGCCACTATAGTCGTTTCTGATCAGACTTCTTCAATACTGAGAGAAAAACAGAACAAACCGGGGATGGCTTGTTCACGCTAAAGGTGTGGCGGAGTGTATGTTTACGCTAATTTGAACGATTCAAATTATCTACAACGCTCAAAGCATCTATAACGTACACAGAAAAAGGTTGCTAGAATTTATCATCTTAGATATTCATATGTCTCATACGTATACCTTGAAGTGCTGAAATCATTACAGATATTTGAACTTGCAACAAGACGGTGTTCGCGCGACCATGTATTTTTGTTTAAATGTATAACACTGTTACTTCGACATAAGCTCATTAGTCTCATCTGTGCGCTATCATATATTTGGAAGCAATGTTCGAAAGTACCGAACGTTCCACGTTGAACACACAAACTATGTCACCATCGGGACGCATTAAACTATTTAAACGATCTAGACTTATCTGATATAGACATTTTCAGTAAAGATTTGTGCCGATGTAAAAAGCGCTTGACATGTATGTGGTTGATTTATATACATAGTCACTGCTGAGTGTTTTGTTCGATGTTGTTGTTTGCATTTTTTACCTTTCTCATTATTTATTTTCATTCTTGTTTTACTACTAACGAGTGCACCAGTGCTTAGGCTTCGGCTGTTACTGGGCACAATAAATGACAGTATTATTAAAGAACAAAAAGTAAGGGCGAAAACGAGCTGGTGTACATTGCACATGGTTGGAAAAACCCCGAGACTGCGGGTAAAACGACACAACACTAAAAATTCTCTAACCCGCAGTCTCGGGTTTTTTCCAACCATGTACAGTATTATTATTATTATAAATTGTATTATAGCAAAAGTAAAAAAAATGACTCGAGCATAGTAGAGCTAGACACTGAGAATAATGACGGTTTAATCATTATTTTTTTTATTAGCCGACACTCTCGCATTTACTGGGGTCAGGTATTTAGGGGCTTTTATTCACAACCTCTTACAACAAGGGTAGAAACTGAGGAAGGAATCATACTTTTGGTTTTTAATTTCTAGGCTAGGTGTCGCAAGCTACCGCCCGTTACAAGGGGTACAACTGTTATGATGCATCTAGAGGAGGAGATGAGAGCGCGTGAAGACCGCGGAGCACCGAGCTCTGGTAGAAATGACAAGGGTGTAGACGCCAAGCTAGCTGTCTTTGTCTCTAGTCATTGTTCGTACCCGAACGCCGAGGCGGTTGGCGTTGGAACAAGGAGTGGAGTCAAAGGCAGTTAGTTTTGAGTCTACTCACTTAATATTCCAACCAGAGTTCTGCGTTCTTACGCCTACGCGTACTCTGATCTCCTTCTCGGTTTGTGTACTTATAGAAAGTGGACTTGCATTCTGGAAGCAATTCTGGCTAACGATTAGAGAAAAAAGCCGTATACGTGGCTTGTACATGACGTCATTTCCGATGCTTTCAGAGAAAAGGGGAAGAATAAGCTACCCTCACCCCTCTTATCAGTATCCACCTTTGTGCCCCCCTCCCCCTCCCCCCTCCCCCCCCCCCCCCCGGTTATGCACAGACGCCTCACAAGATTATAGAATATTAAGCTGTCACTCAAAATTCTTACAAAAGCAGCTTCCCTCTCCTCCTTTTACATGGTGGTCAAAAGTATGCGATGTGACGTCAGTGGAAGGAGCCTTTAGTTCGTTTTGCACGGAAACAAATGAGGTCAGGCTGACACAATCCCCATTGCAACGCGTCTGAAGATAACAGCGGCTTTTGCAATCTCTTTTTTGACCCTGTCTGGGTGCGATATTAGATAGCATCCGCATTCACCCGAACGTCGTTCAGTGATGGAAATTTGGCATGAAATATTACAACGTTTCGACATTGTTTTTCTTTTGAGGCTATGCACCATAAAAAATAAATAAATAGAGATCAACTGAACTTAACTGAAGAACGCCGAGCTGCACCGATTTCATTTCATTTATTGACCTCAAGAGCATCTATTGATTCATTACATGAGGGGGAATGAGAAGGATGGATATTGAGTAGAGGTTAAGGTTTGCTGGCTTTCCCTCTACTTCCTGTTCGAACGCCGCCGTTAGAACGCGAGAGGAGCAGACAACGCTCCTGTCTTCTCCAATTGGAGTGAAACAGCGGGTCGTACAAGGCAAAGGCAACTATAGCCTCGCGTCTATGCACCAATCCTTCCGATCAAAATCTCGGCACTCTGATACCCCCGCGGATACTCCTCACCTCGCCTATCTCCGTCTCACACCGTGTATACTATCTTGAGTGCTATCGTAGGCCCTAGCGTGAATGCGACGCTTTTTATGGGGCTTTATTTCAAGGGGCCTTTCAACAAGCAACGCCTTCTCAGAGACAGGTGTTTGTGCCTTCCAAACTCTTCAGGAAACTCTTGAGATTAAGTATATCAGCTGTATGCCTCGTTAAGAGCTACAAAAACGGTTAGGGCTGAGAATGCCCTGCTGCTTTTATCAATCCACCGAAAACAACGGCATGGTAAATCTGCGCAGAAGATTTGGTGCTGGAAAAAGGTTAAACTTTTTTTTCCCATCCAACTTATAGGGTAGAACGTAGTATGCTTATAATAAATGAGCTACGCACTTTTTTTTTTTTGCTTTATTTATGTTAGCATGTTTTTTGACGTTAGGGATACTACGGCGTACTCAAGACTTTTCGGAAAATTATAATAGTTTTTTTTTTTATCGAGGTCCTTACTATAACGGTGAATCAATCTATTCAGCAATCGATGGACTGACTGCGATTTGAGAAAATATGATTCCACACACCTCGCAGCGTGTTCCGATTGTCTTAATGCAGCAATAAACTCTGTCCGACTCGAAATATATTTTTTTAATTGGGCATAAATTTGCTAAATTTGACAGTAGTATAGAGAACGCAAAATCCCAATAAGCGACAAAAAAAAAAGGAAAAAAAAGTTATTGTCATTTGGATGCTATACCCCGTTTCCCGATAACTTGGCGAACTGTGGAGGCTACGGCCCCGCGAACGAATAAGAGCGTTGGGGCAAGCCACGTGATAACACTCCATTCTCGAGACCACGGGGGCTTCGTTACCGCCACAGCAACAGCGCCGTCCCGACAAAAAAGTAGTTCTAGGCTTCTTTTTTGTTTTAACGGCAATTGAACTGGTGCGACACCCATCTCTGTCATGAATATATATATATATTAAAGAAACAAGGAATAAATATTCACGAAGTTTTAAGTTTTAATCATACTTTAAAAAAAAAAAGGGGGAGGGGGGGGGGGGGGGGGAAGGGACGACACAACAGTATTTTCTGCATTTTTTTAGAGCTTGTTTTTCTCCTTGTCGCGCCATGGCCGTTGGTGATCTCGGCCATGTAATCAACCGCTTCCGTTCAAAATATCGCACTGGGCCCTGCCATTAGCACCTGCCAGAGGTTCGCGGGTAAATTGAGCGTATGGTTGTCTCGTGAGCTGTTCCCGAAGATCTCGCTATTCTAGCGGACGTCAATGTTGCGGCGGTGGACGTTTATCCGATGTTTGTTGGTTTTGCAGCAGATGATTCATGAACTGCGAACGACATGTGGCGCATGTGGCGCAGTGACACACGGTCTCGTGACGCCGTGTCACGTGCCTCGTTCTGACGCTCTTATTAAGTCGTAGAGGATGTAGCCTCCGCAGTTGGCCAATAAATCGTGAAACGGTGTATAGACTGGGTTGTCCAGATTAGCGCGACGCTTCCCTGCCTGAAATCCATCTCGAACATTCGGACCTGTACACTCCTGGCGCCTTCTCTCAAACGTTGTCAGCAAAACTCGGGAAACATTTGATCTCAGCCAAACAACTGTACAGCTTCTAATATTAATTAATACTACTTACAAACTCAGAAACTTATGAGCCTTTTTGCTAGGCCCGACGTATTTGTTTGTGCTGGTTCCTATGTAACACTTTCGAACGCTCTTTGATATGTGAACTCCATAATAAATAAACGTGATATACAAGAAAATAAGGAAATAATGAGGCTCGCAGATAGCACATGACGAAATCAAAATGTCAATACTGGGTTAAAAACATTTTGTTCCTAAGGAAGTTTTTGTTTTGACACCAGTATTAACCCCTGCAAAATTGCAATTCTCGTAAACCCCAACGCACCGGGGCCAAGCAGTCTCTATAAACGGTCGTGATCGATGGCATGAGGTGTTTGTAGCACAATGAACAATTGACACTAAGTAGGAACTCGCAATAAAGCTAACACGGAATGTCTCGCAACGTTGGCCATCGTTTGGCAAGACGCTCTTAAAGATGTCGGCGCAAGGTCTTAAAAATGTATACATCATAAATGGCTGCACGTCTGACCGACGGTTTGTCCGAGCCTCCACAAGTAAATATTCTGCGATAAATCAAAGTCTAAGACTGCGAATGCATATAGTTTCGACCGCCGTTCATGCGCAGAACGTTTCCCGCGACTTAGTCATTGACGTCTTTACGTGTTACTCTCACGAGGCGTATAGGGAGTATTCACTGGACGCCATATTTGTGGGTGCTGTTTAGAGCGCATGCTCAGAACAAGCTTAGATCAATAGGCTGCTAAGACCGGCACTCTTGATGGTGCGGAATGCGCGTTGCAAAAAAAATCTGCTAAAGCTCGCCGCCAGCACGCGCTCAGCTGGCGCGCACACATATATGGCCGCCAGTGAATACTCCCTATAGTCACTGGCAGGACGAGGACGTTAGGGATGTCATTCAGGTGTCCCGCCCGAAGCGTCAGCTTCATACCTTAAATAACGCTTCGGCGTTTGCCTCGTCGACCGTGCACGGGCAGCCAAATCACGACGGAACAGAACAAACGCCTGCTGAAGGCTGGCTATTCGAAAAGAGAGGAACTACCGTTCTCATTTCCACTGGCTACAACAACGAAAAATAGACGCCAACAGAGCAAAAATATAATTTTTGAGATCGGCCACATATGACGGCCTTATAATCGGAGGTGGCCCTTTTAGTTTTCGTGCTGTCACCAAAAACGGTTTACCTTAGGCAACAGGACAACAGCCATGGGGGAAATCGAGTTGAGGGCAATTGACTCGAGCAAAGAGTAGACAGCCGAAGACCCACCTAGAGAATTTTAAGCCGCAGTCGGACTGCCAATAGATCATAAAACAGACAGTCTGGAGACACAGTCTCAGGCGTGTTTCTTCCTTTTATGATGGTACATCGGCCAAACAAAAACTGTCTAAAGACATGTTTAAAGCACACAAATGTATCAAGCGCTTCAAAGATGCTTGAAACGTGTCCCCAGACAACTCTGCCATCACGTCTGCAACAAACACAGCGTTTTCTGTAGGATTTTGTTTTTGTATGATGTATGAGCAGAGCAACCGCGGCTTTAGGCTGTCGGTGCAGACACAAACACCAACTTTACCAATCGGAGGCGCCACTGCAGCAGGATTTGACCCGCTCACCTTGGCGTCCTCCATGATCCACCAGGGCACGACCACGGTGGACCCGGACAGCGTGGGCTCGTGGGGTCCCTCGGGGGCGTTCCTGTCCACGATGGAGCCGTAGCCTTCCTCGGCCATGCTGAAGCCGTCGTTGATGTGCGCCTTGAGCCCGGGCTCGGACGCGGACAGCGACCCTCCGCCGCTCGCCCCGCGGTCCGGGTCTGCATTGATCAGCAACAGGTCCCCGGAGAGGCGACGTGAGCGAGAGCCCCTCAGAGAGAACATTGCTATGACAAGTCCTCGCGCGGAAGCGTTCCGTCCAACTCATTTCAGCTAGCGGGCGAGCGAGTGTGCGTGAGTGCGTGCGGTTAACTTAATCTTATCGTGCGCCTATCGATTTGTTTGTTCCAGGCCGTACCACCGGAAGATGCATCTTCTACAGTGATTGTTCTAAAAAAACAATACGAGAACGTCGGAGTTTTGTTTTTTGCAAAGATTCTACGAGTGTAGTATCTTTGAAGTACCCAAAGCGAATGCAGAAAAAAAATGCTCAAATTCATTGCGCGCGAAAGAGTTCGAACACGTATTGTTATCTTCCGGGTAGACGGGGGAATTTGAATAAAAGAGGCAATTTTAAAGAAACGAAGTCTCTAATGTAAGGTCGCGTTAAAAGTTGGAATGTCACTATATCAGTATGATAAATGTTCAATTAAAACAGAAATTAAAAAGAAGAAGAAAAAAAAGTTTTATTGACCGATGGGAAGTAATGACTAGAAAATATTTAACTATTGTGTCCGGTAATCAAAAATAGTGTGTACTTTAGTAGGACAGAGTTTTAACAAAGTTGCTTTCAGATCTTTATCTTTAAGACTGAACTTCGTTCTGCTAATGAGAAACTATCTATTGGCCTCTGCGCCTTCAATAATAGCAAATATCCACTATGGTATCCTGAAATAAGTAAAGGATTAAACATCTATGCCTTCTTGTCTAAAGCGTATATATTAAGCGAGCGTGAATTGTAAAAAGAAAAAAAAAAGAAAAGAGAAAAGAAAAAGTTTGCGGTAAAAATACTTTTACCGCCAAACTTCCCAAACCAACGCGTGGTATATAAATGTGCCTACGCGAGTTGGTATTACAGTCACTGACACGATGACCTGGGCATCTAGTTAGCCTGCCTTCGGCCGTACTTTGGCTGCGCCTGCATGCTCGAGGCTTACGACACGCCGAAGTGTAATCGAAGCTAGGAAGTTTGCGCTGCAGGCAGAACAACTGAACTGTCTCCCCCCGTTCTCATCCCGGCATTTACTGATTACTGCTTGATGCACCAGAACGTTCGACAGGAGCACGGATCCAGCAACCGCCAAGGATCGTCTAGGGTGCCTCGATGTCCTTTTCGGGACACGTACTGTACGAGGTATACAGGGTGTTTTACGAAAGGTGGACAAATTCGATATTGCGAAAACTACGCGTCGCAACAAAAAAAGGCTTGTGTTGTTTTGATCCTGGGCCAGGGGCGCATTTAGAAAAACTATTAAAGTCCGGGGTAATTAGGTTGTTAAATATTTTTGCGTAATTAACTTTTTAATATGGTGTTTAGGGGCATGCTTTCACTTAAAAAATTGCTCAGCATCATCGCAGCAGAGGTTGGTTGCACTATCTCTCCACGGGGCGCGGTGCCGCCGGGGCCGAGATGGGCTCGGATAGCAAACCGAAACTTAAAAACCCGTCGAGTTTGTGCGGTTTTTCAGAAAGCCGTAAAATGCTTCGCGTGCCTTCTATCGTTTTGCAATTTGTTGATTTAGTGTTTTGTGATGATGCTGAGCAATTTTCTAATTGAAACCATGCCCTTTACCACAATATTAAAAAAGTTAATTACGAATAAATAACTAACCTAATTATATTGGACTTTAATATTTTTCCTAAACAGGCCCCTGGTCCAGGACCAAAACGACAAAAGCCTTTTTTGTTACGACCCGTAGGTTTCGCAATATCGAATTTGTCCACCTTTCGTGAAACACCCTGTATAGGTGAGGACACACAGCACGGCGAGGGTTAGCGATTCAATCGGCCAGACAAAAAGGGAATTGTCGTAAATAGTTTCTTCCGTCCTGCAACGCTCTCTGCAACCCGCTACGAGATCGTGAACTCAGCCGACAAAACAAGCGACGCGCATGCACACTAGCGTCGTCTTCGTTGGGGAGAGCGTAGCGGTGTAGACAAAACTATATACGAAATCTCCCTAAAGTCCCTTTGGCGCGCTCTAGAGTATACCCTCAACCGACAGCATCTCTGCAATCAAAAGCAACGCAACTGAGGAAAAAAAAAAAAAAAGCGTGTCGTTGTTATGGCACCTGGGCACGCGCTCTTTCAACACCGCCTAGAATAACGAAGGCCTCCGAACGCTCCACCATTCCTTCATGAAACGTCATCAGAGTTGAATCGCGCTAACGCGGCAATCGGGTCCGAGCCCGACCTTCGGCGCGCTGATTGGACACGAGCCCCAGACGAACATTGACACAGCCCTCGGGACCAATCTCGAACTTCGATCGATCTGACTGTGATGACAGTGCGATCCCGGTGCGCACAGCGGAAGCCTCTCTAGGTGGTGTTGGTTCTTTACGCCAGTGTCTGCTTTTAGCTTGACGAGTCACGGCTTGTACGCCGCGCCAATAACCTTTTCGCTCCAACGCGTTCATATAACGAAAATAGTTTTTACTACCGTTGAAGCACGAAAATAGAGTCAATGACGAACCGGTGTTTAAGAAATGCAAGTAGTGCAAGTGATAAGTTTGATCTGAAGTGGCGCACCAAGAAAACGACTTCATAAACAAGCATGTCTCCCGTAGAGAACGAACAGACTGCAATTAGCCGCATTTTGGGGAGCCATCTGGTGGAGGAGAGAACTCTATCTGGCTGCGGCGACGCGTTTGGTGTAAAACCCTATATATATTATTCAGTGGTTCTCCGGTGGAGGAGAGAACTCTGTCTGGCTGCGGCGACGCGTTTGGTGTAAAGGCTATATATATTATTCAGTGGTTCAGGGTAATGACATTCTTCGCAGTACCCAATGTGAAAAGCGCGGGCTCACGGGTAAAATAAGAAAAATATCGCCGGAAAGAAATTTCTGCCGTAACAGAGTTGACGCCGAAAGCGCGTGCCGGGAAACACTGTTTCACGCGACCCAAAACAAACAAGAAGTATGAACATTTACATCAAACGATCAGATGTCATCACCCTTAGGCAAAACGCTCGTGAAGTGCACCCCAGCATTGTCGTTGCCGCACCCTCACCTTAAGATAGAAGGTACGGTTGTACAGCTCGCGAAGTACGGCTCGCTGTCACGTCCAGCCAGCCGCTCTGCAGTCCGAAGCTTCCGTAACGAGCCAAGGCGGCCTCCCCGAGCAGCGCGTTCTGAACCGCACACCAGCGGCCGCTTCTATAGCGACGCCAGGTTTGGCGAGAGAGAACTAATCAAAGCCGAGAGAGAACCACCTTCCCTCTCGCTCTCCTTTCCATTCAAGATGACGTCGGCAAGTTCGCTCTTGTTATTTCAACCACGCGAGAGCCCATAACACGAGCGACGCATTTCACGCGTGCAGTGCAGATTTAACGGTCTTGCGCAACCCGAAGCCGGCAACCACGCAAGTCACGGTCAATTTGGAGCGAGTCAAGGCTGGGCATTCCTCGAAGGGCGCCTGTCTTCTCGCTCTATATTCGATCACGCGAGCGGAATAATTCCATCCTCGCGGAAACTAACCAAGTTTCTTTTTGTTTTCTTCTTCCTTTACGCTCACAATGGTCTGGAGGCAGCGCGAAGGAGAGGGCGGAAAGCAAATCAGCCGCTAGTTTAACTAGAGATTGCAAACCCGCGAAGGCAAGGAGCGCGGTGACAATGCACTTTTGATGCTTCTTCATTGCCTTCCTCTGATCGTAGTGTCGGCTGCGTTGAGACGGTGTGCAACGGAGAATGGGAGTCGTTTTATTCCGAAAATCGAATGAATACGCGCCACGTGATGGGGCTCCAACGGGTCTTCCAGTATCGGAGGAGATTGTCACGTGTGTGAGTGTTTCAGTCGCAACGGCGTCTCAGCTGCACCGCTCGATTACGACCAGAGTTTAAAGATGCTCCGCTCAAAGGTTCATTGCCGGGGAGAAGTGGCGCTGGGCTGTATGGCGGCCAAGGCCGAGCGTGGTATATAACAAATTCAGCGTCTAGACGAGTAGCCGTCGAGGCAATGGCACGTTCTTCTAGTGTCTTTGCGGGCTTCCGGGAGCAGGCCTGCGGGACGACTGTCGCTGCCGAACAGGTTCTCTGTGCGGAGGGGACAACCGCGCAACTGCCTTGAGCTTGTGCGGTCACAGCGCTCTTGGAAATCGAGGGGCAGCTGGGTGGTGTCGAGTTGGAAGGCCGACAGGAGCAATTAGGGTAATCACGCTGGCGTTTAGCCGACAATTTCCTTCCGGAGTGTCCCATTCAGACTGTTCGTTGGTTCTCATATTCAGTCTATCGGGTAATCGATCCTTCGGGTGGAAACTTCGATGGAGGCTGACGATTACGGTTTGTACGAAGGTGTACAAACGAAGGGACACTAATAGTTTTGAGCATTCGCAGCTAAACGCGTGATTCGTCGAGGACTCGTTATTCTCTTAAGACCTCGATATACGACACACATACAATTCTCGGACACAGGATGCTTCGATATAACGGAGGTGTCCCTGACTGGCGAATGTATCTAGGAATATGTGATGTATAATTCTGTGTTTTGTGCGTCTGTTTGGTTACAACTGTACATTCGTAACTTTTCAAATGTTGTGTTAGAATCTTCTATATATAAGTAATCACGGTTTCGCCTCAATCACTATCGCCCCCTGGCGCACTAGAAAGGCGACTGGGCGATGAAGACCTCTCTGGCATCAAAAAAGGATCTTTAAAGAACCCCTGAAAAAGTTTTCACGAAGAACCGTTTCAGGGTGTGCTGAAAAAAACTTCTGAGGCTGCAGAATACAGCCAAGTAAAAAAAAACCTAAGAGTTCTTTTACGATCAGATTTTTTTAGAGTGCAAACTAAACTCATATTCCAAACATCCGTCGCAAATCTTCGTGTGGACATTTCCCACTTCTCGCAGACTGCGTGCGCTGTAAGCTGCCTTCGTGTTTCTCACGTACGTCATTCGCGTACTTGCGAGAACACTGAAATACCTCTTGCCTCATGTTTTTGGTT